CGCGCGGCCGCGGGCTGCGCCGAGCGCCGCCTCTGCTGCGCCGGCCGCGACCTGCGCTGCCTCAGCGCGGGCTGGCGGCCCGACGGCTCCCACGGCCCCTGCTACTGCGACGAGGCGTGCGCGCACACGCTCGACTGCTGCCACGACTACGCGTGGGCCTGCCCAGGTGAGCGCCCCGCGCGGCCGGCGCCCCACGGGGCTCCTGGCGTCGGGACGTGGCGCTGTGTGGGATCCCGGGGCGCCTCGCGCCGGCGCCTCCCTGTTTGCAGCGCGGGGATCCAGGGGTTGAGCGGCTTGTGCAGGGCAGGGTGCGGAGCAGGAGTCCCAGTCGGGGTGGGGTGGCCGGACACGCTGAGACTGGGTTACCGGGGATGGATCCAACYTGCCGCTCCCGCTAATCCCTGCATCCCGCCAAAGGCACAGGCTGCTTCAGGGTTTGCTGCTCTGGCACCTGGCCTGGCAGGAGCCGTAAGGGCAGCTCCAGTGCTCATGTCCCCGGACAGAGCTGGTGTCTGAGCGAGGRCAGGTTGACAGGTCTGGAGACTTGAAAACCCTTTAAAAAAAAGCACCGCTCTTAAGCGCAAGGATGATGCGCAGGTGGTCCCGTAAACCCGCCTGAGCTGCGTCCCAGGGCAGCTCCGTGCCGGTGCGCAGGGAGGCTGCAGCCTGGCCGCTGGCTGCGGAGCGCGGCCGTGCGGAGCGGGCTRTCGCGAGGTGCGGACACCCGGCTGCGGCGCCCCCGGCCCCAAAGCCCCAACAGCAGCCGCTCCGGGTGTGGAGAGCGGCCGGAGCGCCGGCCCCTGCGCCCTGCCTCCCCACAGCCCTGGCGCTGCGCTCTCACAAACCCCCATAGCATTAGGGTTCTGAATTTCCACCTTGCTATGCACATTTCCTGTAGTCTTGCATCTCTTTGGAAGACGTAAAGTACTCTACCACTCATTGGCGCTTTATTCCCTGCCCGAACGTGGCTGGGCTTTTGCATATTCCTCTGCACGGCGGGTTTTGGGGACCTGGGATGCACTAGTAACCCCACCAGGCGTGGGGAGAGGGTGGTCGCTGTACAGGGGCCGTGGGCAGCCCGTGCCCATGCCGYGCGGTGCCCGCCGCAGTGCCATCCCGTGGCGCCTGAGGCTATAGCAGCACGCACGGAGACAGAAAAGGCTGGAGAGGTGGTTGTCCCCAGTGCCTGCTGGCTGGGACAGCTCTGGGAGGCTGTGCAGGGCCCCACAGTGAAATGTGGTGCCCTTTCCTCCTGCTGCGCCATGTGCCCGCGGATGGTGCGGTGGCTGCGGGGCAGAGATGATAGGSGATGTTCTGGGGAGCTTGTGCACAGCCGGTAATCTCTTTTTGTGCTGCAATTATAATCTCTGCGTAATAATGATTTGCAATAATCTGCAGGCTCCTATCTGCAGAACTCTGTGAGGATGCAGGAGGAAACATCTCTGTAATGCTGTGGGGACAGCTAAGGGCTGTCGTATAAACTGTAGTGCTGTCTTAGTGAGCCCCAAGCGTAGGGAATGCCAAGTGATGCTCCATAACATCTCTATACCCACCTGTACCTTCCTATGGCCAGTGGAAGCCTTGTTGCGTTCACTGTGTCCTGTTAACACCAAATAGCTCAGGTTTCTGCTCAGTCCAACTGTTGCTGGAAGCTGCCACCCAAGTAGATGAAAGGCTCTGGGAGGACARAACTCACCCTTTTCCCCTCTAAATATTTGCAGAACTAGCAGTTACAAGTGGTAGTGGAAAATGTGAATGCACACATGGCTCCTAACGCGTTGTGTGGCTGTGTCAACACTCACCAAAACACAGCACTGACCTCACGACGATGATACAAATATCTC